GTAGATGAAGAGTCGAAGCATTCTCGAGGGAAGCAAGTGAATCGGGCTATGTGAACTTGACTACTAGTGAAGTGTTGTGGAGGGACCTGCAGGTGTCGGCAAAACCTGCTCTCATGTACCTCCTTCCTCCTCAGTAAGTCTCCCCAAAGAAAGAACACAGCCCGGCCTTTTTTTTTTTTTTTTTTTTTTTGTGCGAGCGAGCAATTCGGTATACAGTCGGCAAGGAAGGAGGAGAGTGGAATGAATCTCCAAAAAGAGTTTGAAGAGATTATTGCAGAAGCAGTTCCCATTCCTGTCTTAAGACCCTCAGAGCCAAGGAAAGTGATGGATGAGTTGGAGAAAATTCTGTCGGACATTTGGTAGTTTGGGGATGGTAAGAGGCCAGTAGGGAGAGTATCAAGTCTGAGAAGAGGTATGAGTTAGAGTTGTTATATTGGGAAAGGGAGATTAGTTGTTGGGGAAATGGGTGTGAATGTTGAGGACGTTACTGGGTCACGTTGAGCAAGGAGGACTGAGGAGAAGAAACCAAGTGTTGGAGTGTAGCTTCTCGACTTGTGCAAAACGGGGCAAGTGCAGTCTTGCGATGGATGATCATGAAGCTGACCTCGGTCTGGTGGGTAGTGGAATCATCACGTCGTCATCCTGGACTGGAGTTTGATCTACCTAACTGACACTGTTGGCCGCAACCATTCTGGGACCGTGCATCCCGAGATGTCACTACGTGACAGCGACCACATTCCTGCGTACCTCGACCCTCTTTTCTGTCCACCGTCTCTGCGAGAACTTGACGAACTACCCTCTTAATGACCTTCAAATCCAGATAGGGAAACAGTTGGTCCCAAGCCAGAGAGCCACACTCACCACTTCTACAGCCTTCCAGACAAGCTTTCGAGGCCAGCTGGACAGGAGAAAAACTCTCCAATATTCATGCTGTGGCAACCCACAGAGACCTGATCAAGGATTTGAAGAAACATTCCACCAAAAGAACGAGATATTTTTGGCTGGCTCAATTTCATTCACTCATCTTCGAAGAATTAGTTACGAAATGAAGACATGAAGCAGATTGTCTTTTTTTTTCCCTCGTCCGCTCAATGACCAAAGCTACCAAAACCGGCCAGAAGAACTCGACAAAAAAGAGGCCAGCAAGATCAGAGCGCCAGCATCGAGAAGGTGCCACACAAACACAAGATGCCAATCTTGGTGGTTCATCCTCCATCTGATCCTGAAAGCGCTGACACGCCATCTTAGGCAGAGATGTTCTGAGCAATGCGATTCCCTCCCATGTCTCCATGTCACTGGGGTTCCCTGAAGACACTTGATGCCCGCTCCTGGCCTTCTTTACAACTAACATTTTCCTGTTTCAAAAAGAACATTCTAACCCGGTCGTCTTCTACCATCCTCAAGTTCCTCTACAAGCTGTCAAAGCTTGGAGAAGCAGTACCGACCACCTGCAAGCTGCTGAGTCCGATCCGACAAAAGCTGCAGTGACAACAATTGGAGGTGAATGGGGGAAGAAATTCCGGGACTGTGGAATCTCTCAATCTAAAATTTGTGGAGAATTTAAGCGTCCCACTATGTCAAAGGAATCTTTACACTTCCAAGTGACTTTTCTCTTCTGTTGCTTGAAAAACTTCCTTTGGTCATGTGTCCCATTGTCAGCAACCGAGTACTTCTTCCTGCATCCGAGCATACCGTCAGAATCTCTCGAATCAATCATTCCTGGCCACTGCACACCCGAGAGTATCAGCTTCTGTGGTGGATTCCCCTGGCTTGGGCGCTCCTCCCGGGGTCTACTGCTGCCGTGGTTTGCCACCGTTCATCCCTCCCACTGGGATGGTCACCCAAGCCAAACCCACCAACCCATCACTCCTCACACAAAGATCACCCCGCAGGCAACTCTGCCAGATCTCTCGCACTCCATCACATTTCCAAGCGTTTACAGACCTGAGCTTTTCGCACCGGACGTTCCTTTTCGACAACTTTTCCTTCTTCGGAAGTGAGTTGCTGTGTGAATTTCAGGAGGAGACAGCCATTGAAGCCTCCCGCGGCTCCAGGCCCACTTCCGTCTCATCTCCTCCTTATGCCTTATAGAACAAGAACTCTATTCATGCATGTTCCGTTCTAGCAGTTTAGTCTGTTACATGCATCTAGAGCACAATATTTTGTTTTTTCGCTCCAGCTTTCGTCCTTGAACCTTCAATTCAAACTTTTACAATCTTTTCTAAAATTAATAATTACAATTTACTTACCAACAGCAGAAATGACTCCCTTGAAACTCCTTGGCCTGTTGTCCCTTCTCCACGGTTCCAACGCTGGTAAACTCCATGGTTTGATGCTGAAGCATGGTCACCACGAGTACTTTCCTACCCACCCAGTCCAACAGAGCGTATTGTAGCCTGCGGATTAGTGTAACAGCGCGGTTTTCGCTAAACCGATTTCCCTGTTACATTCCACCGCGAAACGCGTGCGCGGCCTGGCCGGCCGCTTTTCGTCCACACATGACTGCCACGCGATGGTACACGCGGTTTTTCCGCTAACTAGATTCACTGTTGCATTCCACCGCGAACGCGCGGGGCGTGTCGCGGCTGGCCGAAGCCGCTTTCGGCCCACACCTGGACGCCACGCATTGGCGCTTCCTGAGACATCCTCAGTTGCAAATCGCTCTGGGTGGTGAGTTTCTTCCCCACTGGCTGGGCTCCTCCCGGGGTCTACTGCTGCAGTGTGTGCCACCTTCAGTCCCATGCCCACTGGGAGGTCATCCACAAGCCACCCACCACTCCTCACAACAAAGACGCACCCGACAGGCAACTCTGCCAGATCTCTCGCAACTCCATCACATTCTCAAAGCGTGACAGACCGGGCACCGTGACGTTCATCGACAACTTTTCCTTCTTCGTTGCCTGTGTGAATGTGGACACCAGGAAGATGGATCGAGAGGAGTTGGTGGAGCACTGCCAGGCTGTGAGGTCGGAGCTGTTTGCTGCAGTCGTGGCAGGTCTGGAGAACACTCACCACACAAACTCTCGCCCAGTGCCCGCCTTCCTGTGCCCCGTCCAGAATGAATCTTGTAGCACTGAACTGCACATCGCACGTATATCCGAGAATGGCAAGAAATGGATATGCTCTGAAAATTCTAATGTGTTTGACAGTGTTTCTCCTAAACAAACCTTGTGGTTTACTGGAGCCAGTAAGCATTGAAAACTCGTTGAGGAATAGCTAGTAACTTAATGTTTTTTCCTCTTTCCTCAGTCACATCTCCTTCCAAGTCCAAAGCTCCAAAGCTCAGTGATCTGGCAAATTGTGTTGCAGCCATCATTCCCCAAAAATGGAAGCCGGTGGCTATCCAGCTAGAGCTCAGCAGAGGAGAGAGGAAGGCAATAGAGAAGGATGAGGACGAGTGCTTTGATCGATTCATGGCTGTTCTCGAGCAATGGAAGCAATCAGCTAGTCGGCCCTATACCTGGAAGACATTGATCACTGCCTTGAAATCGGCATCTGTTGATGAAAACTCCTTAGCAGAACAACTGGACAGAGACTTTTGCTAGTGTACAATACCAAAGTTGTTTACGCATGCGCACTTTATTACCGTATTCACAAACGTTTTTTCTTATTGTGCGCGAGCATTCGCCGTGCTGCTGCTGGAAAATGGCGACCTACGCGACCCCGGGAGAGCGTCCCCCGGTTGGTCTCCCTCCCTCGAGGGAAGCCCCCAGCGACCAGTATGGGGACGAGATGGACGAGGCTCTAGTCGGGCCGGTGTACCTTCGGCTGGACGACCCGGCCTTCCGCTCCTACGTCCAGTACGCCAACCAAACGTACGAGGAAGAAGAGGCCGGGGATGAAGAGCTTGGCCTCGACCTCTCCGCTCCACCGCCAGAGTCGTAAGTTGCCTCTAGGGTCTTCCCGTAATTATGTCAGTGTAGCCGTGTCCGCATGCGGTGAATATCCCACGGTGTGGAAGCACTGACCCATGTCGTGCGTTAGATTCTAGTGAAGCGTCCTATGAAGTGAATATGGATGGAGGGGCTTTCCCTCATCATTCACAAATCCATGCATGTTTTGTAAAGTTCCACTTGTATGGTGAACGTGAATTGTGTGGTGAAAGGCTCCCAATCTGAACTACATACAGGTGGTTTCATGGTCGCATTAGTCGGCAGACGGCATCCTCTAGACTCCACGACCTGCTGGGGGAGCAGGGGGTGTACCTGGTGAGAGAGAGTGAGACTCAGCCGGGGGACTACGCCATCTCGTACCTCAGCCGTACCGGCTACGTCCACCACTTCAAGATCAACTCCAACTGTGGCGACTACTTCATCGGAGGTCGGCAGTTCATGTCTCTCTCGGAGCTCATTGGGTTCTACTCCAACTGCTCCTGCATCTTGGAGAATGAGAGTCTGGAGTTACCTGTTGTTCCTCCCAAGGTGTGTGTGTGTATAATGTACCTCATGTGTACGTAAGCCCATCACACATTCCTTATTACCATCGCTTGGTTAACTCTTGGTGTGCATGTGAATGCATGAAACAAACTGTTGTTGCTTCATAAGACTAAGTTTTGATCACGAAATCTGCTGGTCAGCATTTTCCAGACATAGAATTGCCTTTGGGTCTGTAGAAGCAAATGTGCACATGTGGGTGCAATTTTGGTCTTGTAGCAACAGTGATGTGGGAATCTCTCCCCATTTCCCACCTGCAGCCAGTTCCTCTGTACATTATGTTGAGGGCCACAGCTCCACACGTTAAGAACCCCGGCACTGATGAACTCACGTAATGTCACAACTAACACTTGTACTACTGTGTATGCTCTCACCATATTTGTGTGTGTACACATTGTTCACAATGAATAGTACAGTATAATGGGTCCTCACCGAGCATTTGTAGTACACAGCCTCTGGAAGTCCCATTGTGATCTTCAAGCAGAGGTTGTTCGTTTTACTGTAATTGAGAGAGAATAAATCACTGGAATCGATGTGTATTGTATTAGTAAACAGATATGTAAATGGTACTTATAATACTCACTGGGCTCTCTATATACAACAAAATAATGCATCAACGAAGTTTCTGTCTGTTCCATGCCATGGAAGTAGGAAATTATGTTCAAAGGAGCGGATTCCTATACATTTTCAATGAGAATAAGTATAAGCAGGTAATGTGAGTGTTCTGCTTTGGCCCCAAGCCTTTGAAACACTCCTAGGCAGACCCACAGCATGTGTCAACCATAGTATGCCACCTAGCCTGCATGCTCACAATTCAGCATCCTTAACTGACAACCTGTTTCTTATATTTCCAGGTATGTAGATGTTCATTACGTATTACGTGTATGTCCAAACTAGTGTACACGTGTGTTTCCTGCAGTATTGATGTGTGGGAGGTGTTTGTCCTGCTGAGTCGGCTGAATGATGACTGGGGCTGGGGTCACTCCCAGCGGTCGGGGGAGAGCGGACTCATTCCTCTCATGATCATGGAGGATGTGGTGAGATGGGGAGTGTGTGTACAGGTGTGGACTGTGACTTAGTTTGAGGTGGGATGTGGTATTGTGAAAGAGAAAGCGGTTAGTGTACATATTGTACATGTAGTTGCATGAGAGGAGGGGGATGTAAGAGTTGCAGGAAAATAAACAAGGAAAATGGTATGGTTTTTGAGGAGATGTATGATATGTATGTATGTATGTATGTATACATATCTTGTTGGATATCCCTTAAGCAACCGACATGTATGAAGCTACGTACTGGGGAGTTTTATGAGCATATACTATCCTGCGCAATGTAAGGTGGGTTCATACATGTCGGTTGCTAGGGATATCCAACAAATATATTGCAGTATTCCGACAGGACAGCATTTGCCCTTACAGGGCTCATGCTGTCCTGTCTGGGCACTGCAACACATACATACATACATACATACAGCAGGGAAGCAGCAAATAAAACTACCAGGCTGCACTCTGTGTACACACATTACTGAAATCATCTCTTTCTCCCTAAAACAAATCTCCACTACTGTTGTGCTGGCTGTTGTTGTGATGTGATGTGTTCAGACTGATGAGGATCCCAACCTGGGCAAAGTGTGGTTCCATGACTCCATCTCCAGAGAAGAGGTCGTGGACCTACTCACTCACAGTGAGGCTCCCTCCTTCTGTCTCTGCTGGCGAGCAAAGCGAGCCTACCTAGTTGTCTGATTGTGGGAATTTCTATTTGTATGCGAGGGGCACTGCACATACCGTATGTAACTCGAAATATGCACAAAAATGTACGTCATTCTAAATAGTATGCGAAAAATTGAACTGCAAGTGCTCGATCGCCAATAATGCATGGTTTTGGTTCTAGTTATAGCGAGTCTACTTCTCTAACAACTTTCTCTACGTGGAATTGTGTCCTTTGAAGTCTGCCCTCCTCTTGTATTTGTTGCATAATGTCAATGTTTGTACACCTCCTGTGTTTTAATAGTCAATTCCTTTAAACCAGTGTAAATGTTTCATTGTCCTTTGTCGGAACCTGTGTGTGTGGTGTGTGGGTATGGTTGTGAATGGAGATGGCTATCATGTCATGTGTTTCACTCTATGTCACACCCAGAGGGCCAAGTAGGCAGTTTTCTGGTGAGACTGTCCAGTGTGGAGAAATCAGAGAGACACTACTCCCTCTCTGTCAAGTAAGCCATTGCTGCCAATCACCCTCTTGTCATATGTATTACTATTTTACTATGCGTGAAAAAAGGATGGGGAGGAGTATGTTTGGTAACGCCTCATTTTGGGATGAGGTTTACCAGTTCGTATTTTGCGGCCATCTCAACACACACACGCACACGGCTAAGGTTTACAACATAACCACACGTGCATTCGTTAGTTATCAGAGGTTTTTCCCGTCCCTTGCCTATGTTTTTACTCCACACATGGGCACAGAAGTACAGCTGGCATTCGATATTGTAAACGTATACATGTCCTGGGTATTTATTGAGTGTGTTGAGTCTGATACTAAGAGTTATGACTTGTGTGAAATACCTCCAGAACTCGAGATAAGGTGCAGAGATTCCGCATCACCAGGTACGACACAGGATACTACATATTTGGAGGGAGACCGTTCAGTAGGTGAGCAGCCGTCTCTCTCGAGACCTCATGTATGCAGTACTTTCAGGTATAATGGCTGACTTTTCTTCCTTTTTCACAGTATGGATGATGTCGTTGACAGATACAGGAGTGAGGTCATCATTGATGGAATCACACTAGGAGCACCAATCATCCAGGTAGTGAGAGTGACGTTGTTCTCAGTGTCAGTTGTATAGAGAACACTTTGAGCAGTGTGGCTGCCCTGGTTGTAGCTCAGGCGGTAGAGGGCTCTTCCTAGACTGCAGAGTGTCGTCGGTTCATGTCCCACCCAGGGGCAGCTCTTTTTAATTGTTGTCCTGGGTGTTGTTGATTAGTTTGTGTTCCACTTGCATACACCTCACCTCTATAATTATGATTCTCTACCTCCGTGTGTCTCCCTGTCATCGTACATTGTAGACTGTGAGGCCAGTGGGTCGGCAGGCAATGACAGTCACCTCTCCACGAGACAGGACCAACAGTATCATCCTGACACAGGCACACAGACAGGGAGAAAAGACCGGACTACTCCTCCTCAGGAAAGGTCTGTTATTACTAGAGTCAGTCATCAACCCTCGGCACGCATGCGCACTGCGCAGTGGAGGTTAATACTGCAGTACTTGGTCTGTACCTGTTTGTCTGTAGCTATTCTGGCACTACTGGCTACAAGGCAGCCTTTTGTCTTCACGTGAACACACGGACATTATATTCAGTTCATATCACTGGTGCATGGACTTCCCTGAATGCCAGGCCTGAACTATATCTGGTGTGACCTTGGATCACAATATGTTTTATTACCTATGTAGCCTTTGCGACATATTGAGAACCTAGCATGATACAATGTGCGACTTTTAGTCATGCATGGTATGTACATTAGCACTGCAATGACATACTGGTCACAGGGAAGAAGAGTCCAGTCTATGGCAAATGGAAGGAGTTTTATTTCGTCATAAAATACGGAGAACAGAAACTGCTCTACTACGAGCGAGAGGACGTGAGTTCTCCATTAGCATGATAATATATACACTGTGTCCAGTTTTGTATTATTACGCTTTGTTTTTTCATTTGTGGGAATTACTATGTACATTGTTTTTAATTTTCATGGTGAAGAAACATCTGACATAAATAATCTGACGTAAAAATTTGCTGTTGGTCATGATTAGCATAACAATCTAACCGACTTGTGCCTGCAGAGTCATAAAGCCAAGGGACTTTTGGATTTGAGACAGTGTCAAGCCTTTGCCGTGGATCCCACCCTCTATGGCAGGTATGCATTTTTACAGACATATTCTCTTATGGTCGTTCATTCGAGCGGATTTTTCTATTTATCTTCCGTTCGTACGTCGTGTAAGTGCGCATGCGTGGCTTTGTTACGCTCTTCTTTTTATTCGAAAATCATTTCCAAATTTTTACGCATTTTCACACACGCTGCCTCGCGAAATGCACGGATCAATCTAGCAATCTGAAAGCGTAATGTAAGACTAAGTACCGTTCTGCTCACCTGCTCACCGTTCTGGCAATATACAGTATGCATGTAACGGCGACAGGTACACATCTGTCTTGCTTCAAGGAAAGCAAGCTGTGCGCTGACAGCACGTTATGCAGCCAGAACATCGCTGGCAAATCCCAAGTTGGGTCACTCCTGCTCGCCAACAGTGTTCAACATTTCCACTAAGTACATACAGGATGCTCAGGGTGTGGTTAAGGGGTGGGGGTAAGGAGGGTGGGTATCAAGTCCTGCTATGTCCAACCCTACCTAGTCATCTGAATGTGGGAATCTTCTACGCATAATACAGTAGTTTATTTGTGTATGACAGGCACTGTACATGCATTTGGGGTAAGTATGGGACACTAATTTGCACAAATTGAGGTATGCTTGGCACGCATACTGCCGAATGCTACATTATACAAAGTACTTTCATTAACCCTCGGCTCACATGTGATGTGAGGGTTATAGCAAACCATGATATGTACATGTGTGAAGTATACTGCTGCATGCTGCCGGAAAATGCCAATTTTTACGCAGCCCATCATAACAATACTATGTTCTCATTAGGAATGGTGTATTTATGGTGATGTTGAAATATCTCAATGAGCTGTCGTTCTACTACTTTGCTGCTCAGACTGAGGAACTAGCACAGGTATGGAAACGCTTATAATTCGATGTACCTGTATATCACATTGTGAGGACCGTAGGACATAATGTTACTTTCCCCAGTTTTATATACGCAGGACATGGCATTGTAGTAATGTACCCTATCTCACCGGTAGAGCTGATTGTCTTGCACACTTTTCACCATTCTGAGATCACTAGTGAGATGTGCAGAGGTTATCTGGCAAACAAGAAAGCTATCCGTCCCCACGCTTAGGGGCTTGTATATTTTCCCAGCTTGTGTCTGTTCGTATACAGTCTGGTGGTAATGCTTACAGTTTGTCATATAAATATGTAACCCACGGAGTTGTTCTGGTTGACATAATTTACTAACAACACACACACATGTGCATTAAAATAGGGGAAAGGGTGGCTGAACACACGTGTTGTGTTATGTAGGAGTGGCTACGTGTTATGAAGAGACACACTCTCAAGACCCCAGACACGGCCAAGACAGGTGCAGCAGATCCGCTCTCTGTCTCTGTCCATTCGAGACAGCAAGCTGGCCAAGTCCAGTGGCCACTCCAGTGTCTACTGCCTGGTGTTCCTGAACGGAGCCGCCCTCGCCAAGACCATCCTCATGCAGGTCCCCTGCATCTTTGACGAGAGCTACCTCTTCCAGTGAGCTCTCTCTCTCAATGCACACCATTTCAACTTATCCAGAGATTGTTTTAGGAAAAAACTATTAGTTTAGAAGTTGCCAAAACATTTTTAAATGCCCACCCGCATATCTCTCCAGACAGACGTCTATGGACGCACCAAACTGTACGCTGTCCTTTGAGATGTGTGTGGGTCAGTGGTAGATGCATGGGTAAACAATTGTGGCCCATGCATTAAAAACGTTTTTAACCATTTCAATAGATTGTTTCAGGCAACAGTCATAAAATCTAAGGTGGAAAAAATGGCAAAAATGGTAATGGAAATCTGAATGAGTTATGTTGAGAGGTATTCTGCAAAAAACAAATATAACTGAATGTTAAACACCACTTCAACTTATCCAGGTATTGTTTTAGGCAAAAACTATAAATTTAGAAGTTGAAAAAAAAAGCCACCCGCACATCTCTCCAGACAGACGTCTATGGACGCAGTGCAATGCCAAACTGTACGCTGTCCTTTGAGATGTGTGTGGGTCAGTGGTAGATTCATGGGTAAGGGGAGGAACCAGAGCTGTTCCCAGCCAATGCTCTGGACCACCTGTCAGTTTCAGTGCGGGTCCGGGATTCGAACCGGGCACCTTATGTGACAATCCCCATGTCTCTAACCACTTAGCCACTTGGGCTGGCCACGAGAGCTGATGAAAAAACGTTCCTCTTGTATCAACACTCATATTACATCATTATAAAAAGAGTGTCACAGACTGGATCGAACCGCTGACCTCACGATTATGGGCGTGAGTCCTTATCCATCAGGCCACACCCAATACTTGGGATGAGCAGTTTAATACTGTATGTATTTGTTTATGCCGACTATCACTTATGACTCACGTGACTCTTGTGTCATATGATTGGTGTGTTATGCAGGGATCTCCCCCTCTCCACCACTTCGTTCTCAGTGGAATTACTGAGTGCCTCAAAGAGAGCGTACATCAAAGACTCCAGCATTGGTATATACAGTGTACACATCATTTTAGTGATTACCACGTGTCTGCCTGTACAGGCCAGCTAGACCTATACTTCTAGAGACCCACTGCATGTTGTACATTGCACACTATGTGTATGTTATATAGGTCGTGTGACAATTCAACTGTCGGACATGCCCAATGGGCAGGATGACGACAAGTGGCACCATCTCATGACAAAGGGCTCAAGAACTGCACAAGGCTCCCTCAGACTGGTGGCCAACTTCAAGGTATTATACAGTACATTGATTATGTTTCACAAAACGAGGTGAAAGGCAAAAGGCAAAGCCATCGAGTCCACTACAGTTGACTTCATGCACATGTTTTGCTATGTATGTATGTCTCAAACAACTTGGTAACGAGGTAGAAAGGCAAGGCAATGCAAACAAGTCAACTACACCCAGGACAGCTCTTTCTTTTCAAAGAAAAGAAGAAGAGCTGCCCTGGGTGGGGTTCAAACCCGCGACACTCTGCAGTCTGTATGTAGTATGTATGTATGTATATGTACGTACAATGCAGATTGTATGCAAATATAATCTGGTGTAATTTGTGTGTTTTGTTCCCTGCAGCATGAGATGATCTTCCCCATTGAGGAGTACACTAGTCTCAAGGAGGTGAGGCCTCACTAGCTAATAACCTGGCCTTCTCACTCCTCCTCCATGTGTGTGCACATTATATATGCTAGCAAATGGAGAAGACCCAGATTTTTACCATGAAATGTGTCCTTAAACTACTTAAAATCAACCTAGTGCAGCACTTAACTGTTGGTGGTGTCGTCTCAAGGAGGTGAGGCTTCACTAGCTAATAACCTGGCCTTCTCGCTCATCCTCCGTGTGTGTGCACATTATAATTATGCTAGCAAATGGAGAAGACCCAGATTTTTACCGTGAAATGTGTCCTGTGTCTGTAATCCAGTGTCACAATGTGATGCATGAGGCATCTCCATTACTGTGCTGTGTGTAGCTGTATATAGCACCCACTCCATCACTAATGGATACATATACCAGTAGTAGATACATAGGTCCATGCCATGCTGCATATGTAGGTCATAACACGTATCATGTGAAAAAAGGTCCATCTCTCCAACGTGTTTGTTGTAACGTTTGAGCATGCACACACGAAGGAGGGCAAGACCTGGTTTCGAGCATGGCTATTGTATTGTAACTCTGCACCATTTGTTTGCATACATTTGTCTCTCTCTTTCCTCTCCAGCTGTTACTGTCAGACAATCTGACAGTCATAGAAGCACTGGCCACTGTGTGCAAAGATCATCATGCTGAGCTGGCGTGTGCTCTCATACAAATCTTCTGCCACTATAACAGGGTCTTACCCATTGTAAACGCTTGTCTAGCGAAATCCATTAAAAAAGAAGGCAAGTCTATCATATGGTGGTGTGTGTTTAATGACGTGTGTGTGTGTTTGTGTGCAGAGAATGTGGCGACACTATTCAGAGCTAGTACCCTGGCCACCATGCTCATGGACCAGCTGATGAAGCTGACTGCCATGGACTACCTCCACAGCGTCCTCAGGGAGCCGATACAGAGGATTGCTGACCTCAGGGACTCCTGTGAAGTAGGTGTCGTAGATGCAGTGAATGTCATCTTTTATGCATCCGTGTCGAAGCTATACAGTACTGCGCGTAATCTGTGTGTTGTGTATATTATTATGCCTGTCCGTCTGTCATTTGCATCCACTGCATGTCTACATACATACATAGCAAGTGCCATATTGTTTACTTGCAAGTCAAGCGTTGCTTTCCGTGCCTGCATGCAAGGAGGAGGGGATTCCACTCAGTTTTGTTCCACTCCCATTCCAACTGGTTTCCGTCAATGTGTCAACCTTATTTCTCAGTTATGTAACAATCCTCAACCTTTGTCAAGTGCTTCATCTGTCTCCTCCACCCCCCACACACACTTTGTCTCTCTCTCTCTCTCTCACACCAGTTGGACCCCTCTAAGCTACCTCGAGGGACCGACCTGACTCCCCACCTCCATCTGATGGAGGTCCAACTCCAGAATATCCTCGTCTCCATCTTCACATCCGTTGACTCCTGTCCCCTGTATGTATGTATGTGTACATAGTGTCCCTTTTCTTACCTGATACTACCACATATGTACTGTATGAGTGTATTGTTCACTTGCATTTTATAAGCAGAATGTTTTTAGATGCTTGTTGTGTGTGCTTGTTGTACCCAGACATCTTCGTTACATATTCCACTGCCTTCAAGACAGAGTTGTGCAGAAGTGGCCGACTGATGGCACCGTCAGAACTAGGGCTGTCAGGTGTGTTTCTGCTGTTGTTGTGTGTTCAAAGAATTCCTCTGATTGATTGATTGATTGGTTGATGTCTGTTGCAGTGGGTTCCTGTTCTTGAGGCTCATCTGTCCAGCTCTCATCAATCCTCTCCACTTCAACCTTCTCTCATGTTAGTAGTAATCAGAGCTAGCTCCAGAGATTTATTGCTGGGGGACAATCAGCCCCCTGGCAACAAAATAATTAAGATGGTCGAAATAACAGGACGCCTACTATTTGGGGGTGAAAGTGTCCCCTGGGAAGCATATTTAGGGGGACAAATGAAGAGATAGAGGGACTATGTCCCCTGGTGCACTCTGGTGCCAGCCTTGGTAATTTACATATGTGAACACAACTATATACCACCTATACAGTATTCATGTACATATGCGTGCATGCAACAGCCTGGAAATGTCAACTCCTATTTTCATTCCTGGAACTGTTTGGTGGCTGATATTCTTGCATGCGGCTTGGTGCACAGTGCACACAAAGTATGTACGTAGAGTATGATTGTTCACCGGTATTTTGAGCTAGTATGGCCACGGGAGTTGACAACGTGAACTCTTAGGGATCTATCTAGCGTTGCTTTCTCTCGTCCTCCCCATATGCAGGCAACCCCTCAGAGGCCTCACAGCGGACCCTGAAGCTGGTGGCCAAGGCTGTTCAGAACCTGGCCAATCTGGTGGAGTTCAAGAGCAAAGAGCCGTTCATGACCAGCCTTAACCCCTTCATCACCAGACACAGGGCCGACATGATCAAGTTCATTGACAACCTCTCTGTGAGTTGACTAAGATGAGCTGACAGTGCATTGTTGCAATTTGGCGGTCCCATTTGTTCCAACACAGCAAGGGAGCAATGCTTTGCAAGTGTAATGTTGTGTTACTCTCTTTGTGCTCACTGTCCCGTATACCACTCTGATGTGGATGTGTATCTCCAACTTAGCCTCTATACTTCACTCCTAAGCTGTTTTACATGCAAACCTATAGTTGCTGCTCACTTGCATCTCCTTCATATCACTACATGTTGTAGACTCAAGAGGTCTAACGGTAAATTAACACGCGTTCGGCCACGTGGAGAGAGGAGCCCGTAGTTGTATGAAAAATACTATTGAGCTCATACATGTACAACAGGGAGACAAGATACTACAATCACAGCTGCTTATATAGGCTCATGCTTACACATGATTACATAACAGATGACCTCAAGATGTGTGTCACATACACAATCAATACACTACAATTTCCTCATTCTTAAGATTACAAATACTCAAAAGTGATACAAAAAGGAATAACTATGAAATATGTCCTTCATACCTCTGGGGTGGTTTCCTCGCCCTTCCAGATCTTCTAGCAGGTTCCCTGGAACCCACGTGTGGTTCTTGATCCGGTAAAAGTCCCTCTGCATTTGCAGACTCACTCACAGATTCCTGAGACCCACTTGTCATGTTATCAGGAGACAGTCCTTCTGCGTTAGCAGACTCACTGACTTGCTGGTCGTTCTCTGTAGATGCTGGTCGTGGTTCTGTGCTGGGAGTACTATCTGAAGTAGGTATTTCAGGTTCTGTGTCAATCGCATTATCACCCTCTTCCAATCTCTGGTGTTGGCTAGAGCCATTTTCTTCCATCTCTCCCACACGAGGGTGGAGTTGGTCCACATGACGACGAACCATGCGACCATCAGCTAGGCGCACCTGTACCAGCACAGATCCTTCCAGCTCAACAACCACACCTGGTAGCCACTTCGGGCCTGATCCGTAGTTTTTCGCATAAACCTGCTGGTTTTGAGTAAAAGATCTGCTTCTGGACCGCTTGTCGTGATTCAGTTTCTGCTGGTACTGAGACTGACGAGCTCTTTCCCCCAAACTTGTCAGAGATTTGTGTCTAACTGGGAACGCAATTCCGTCCAAACATTAGTTTCTGCTGGGGAAACCCCCCGTGGATGAATGGGGTGTCAGACCGTGAAATCGTGATATCCGTGTATTGATTGATCCATCCTGTAGTCGTTTGAACCCCTCCTTGAAGGTCTGTACGGCTCTCTCGGCAAGGCCATTTGACGCTGGGATGGTAGGGTGGGGTTCTGACGTGACGGATCCCATTTCTTTTCAAAAATTCGACAAATTCCGAACTGGTGAATGCTGTAGCGTTGTCTGAGACGACGACTTCAGGTAGACCCAGTGTAGCGAACGATTTCCTGAGTAGTTTGATCGTCGCTGTTGATGTTGCCGAGTTCGTGCTGTGGACTTCCATCCACTTCGAATGTGCATCCATCATGAGTAAGAACATCTTCCCCTCCATTGGCCCAGCATAATCGATGTGAATACGGCTCCAAGGTTTCTCAGGCCAGGTCCAAGGATGGAGTGGAACTGGTGGCGGGTCTTTCCGGGTAGTCTGGCAGTCGGAACATGCTTCACATGTTGTTCGATCTCTTTGTCCATCCCGGCCACCACATATAACTTCTGTGCGAGAGCCTTCATCCTCACCATGCCCGGATGGGACTCATGTAGCATCTGCAATACCACGTTTCCTTCCACGCGGTGGAACCACACCCCTACACCCCCACAACAAACAACCCCCTTCAACACAGCTCCACACCTCCTCTGAACGTACGGTGCCAACTCTTGATCTGAGTCGGTTGATCCGGCCATCCCTCCATTACCCAGCGTTTGACTTTTGAAAGAGTCAGGTCTTGATCCGTCCACTGTCGGATCTGTGAGCTGGATAGTGCGAGTGGCATCTAAATGCTCCATGAGGTGTATGACCTCGGCTGGTATCGGAGTCTCGTGCGTATCGGATGGTAGAGGTAGGCGACTGAGAGTGTCTGCGTTGGCATTGGTCTTGCCTTGCTTGTACCGGATGGTGTAATCGTAGGCTGACAACAAAAGAGCCCACCTCTGGATCCTACCAGAAGCCATTGCCAGTATGGTCTTGTTTTCATTGAAGAGGTGCGTGAGGGGGTTATGGTCGGTTTTTATTTCGAACTGACGACCATAGAGGTATTGGTGATATTTCTTTACCCCAAAGATGATGGCGAGGGCCTCTTTATCGAGGTGAGAGTAGTTGGTCTCGGCTTTTGACAACGTACGTGAGGCGAACCCCACCGGTCTCTCTGAACCGTCTGGCATGCGACGAGAAAGGACAGCGCCAAGTCCATACGGAGATGCATCACATTCTAACAATAGTGGCAGTTGGTCATCAAAATGTGTGAGCACTTTATTGGACTGAAGTAACCCCTTAACCTGGCGAAAAGCCTTCCTCTGCCTGGGCCCCCACTTCCAGGCTTTTGTTTGTCGCAACAATTCGTAAAGTGGAGCTAGTGTGGACGCTAGGTTAGGTAAAAATTTACCATAGTAATTTACCATACCTAGGAAGGAACGGAGTTCAGTCAGGTTCCTTGGGCTTGGTGCATCCACAATGGCCTTCACTTTGGCTTTGGTAGTGTGGAGTCCTTCCGCACTAATCTCGTGACCCAGATATGCGACTGAGTTCAGGAGGAATGCGCATTTTGGGCGTTTCAGCTTCATTCCGGCGGATTCGAGTCGTTCGAGGACTTGCTCGAGATTTGCCAGGTGTTCCTGCTCGGTGGTACCTGACACCAATATGTCGTCGAGGTATACGCATACCCGTGGGATGCCCTGTAGGGGGTTCTCCATCAGGCGTAGAAAAATTGAGGGCGCTGAAGCGATGTCAAAAGGGAGACGGGTGTATTCAAAAAGTCCCCTGTGGGTGTTGATCATTACGAGACGACATGACAGTGCATCCAAGGTGATCTGGAGGTACGCGTGTGAAAGGTCTAGTTTTGAGAACTGTTTCCCTCCCGACAGTGACGCAAAACGATATCTCCGACACCTTGGCTGGTGCAACCAACGTCCTGATCAAACGGTAGGTTGTCGCTCCTACGGCGTTCAGTAGAATCGCACGTCGTTTCTCGGAAGAAGCGATGTCGTTTGCTGTGAAATAGTGCTCCAATCGCTAGATGTATTCACACCAATCGTCCTGCGACGGGTCGAACATGGCGACGGCGCCGTGTAGTCCAACCGACGGTGGCGGCGCTGCAACGACTGCAGCTGCTGGAGGTTCTCCTCCCCCACTCGTGGGAGACGTGGACATCACTGCTTCGTCCTCGTCGCCAAATTGTTGTAGACTCAAGAGGTCTAACGGTAAACTAACACGCGTTCGCCACGTGGAGAGAGGAGCCCGTAGTTGTATGAAAAATACGATTGAGCTCATACATGTACAACAGGGAGACAAGATACTACAATCACAGCTGCTTATTATAGGCTCATGCTTACACATGATTACATAACAGATGACCTCAAGATGTGTGTCACATACACACTACACTACATTATGGTCCTTATAATAATTATGCAGGCAAATCAGAAAAATTGTGGCATGCGATTTTATTGGCCTCGCATACAGAACTTGCTATTAGCATCTATTACATAATCAACCATTGGAGACTGTGTATAAACCTCTGCAGAACGTGTCGTCATCAGAAGAGCAGGGAATCCTACCGTCTCCAGAGCCAGCCAGAGATCTGGCCGCCATCCACCACCTCTGCTCCACCTACTACAAGAATCTGGAGAAACTGGCAGAGAAACAGCCAGAGGTGAGGATATGTACATAGCTTATGCAGCAAATCCTTCAATCAAAGGCTTTCACGGACAAAGCAACTATCGTGTACGGTTCACTTTCTACGTAACATACCCACAGGTCAGAAATCTGATGGGACTCATCCAGAGCTTGAGAACTGCTGAGATTCGTTATCTTGCCAAGTACCGTGGTCCCGAGTGACCCTTGACCCCATGACTCTCTGCCTGACGCTCGCTCCCTCTGCCTGTTCCATACATGTATTGACACACATGGCAACTATAATATTATACCTCTACCAGTATAGTGATCACTCCACAGCTTTCTCTCACTAGTACTTGTACCTCGAGGAAAAAATATTTCCTGATTTTAGAAGTTGATGAATCATGCAATCAATTTTATAATTTGTGGATCATTGTATGTGTGGAATTAATGCCGGTTTTATTGATGCTGAACTCTGTATGATAACCTGTTTTGTGCACTGCTATTACATTGCCTTATTTGGTCGGGGGGGCGATAGGCTGGGACGCAAGATTATAATAGGTAATAGGAAACTATTCAGATTTAGGAGGATGCTGGGGGCGGGGCATTTTGAATGCAGAAAGGATATTTTGTTAATTTCCATAGAGGTGAGATGTTGCTATTCCACCTTTCAACTATAGTCAAAGTATAGATTGTGGTTTTTAGTCATTTCAGTTACCCACAGGCCGGCAAATAATGCAAAACCGATCACACCGTAAGGCATATGTAATGGAGAAAGTTACCTGGTGTTCTGCTGTTGAGAAACATTGTAGTAACATTGAGATGGTTTTGCGATTCCACCCCCTTACTGTAGTAAAGTTTTTTGCCATTTTGTTTACTCACATGCCTGCAAAAAAATGAAAAACCGTTTAAACCCTAAGGCATTTTTGAGGAGGTAAGGTTACCCACTATACATTTCCATAGAGGCAAGATAGTGTGCTTTTCCATTGTCATTAGGGATGTTTGTTTTGTCATTTCGTTTACTGAAAAAAGCAATGAGGCCTCTGGAGGGAGGAAGTTGCCCTGTTGTAGGCTAGATTGTGTTGCTATTCCACCTTCCAACCAACCCCCTATGCGACAGTTGTATATTGCATAGAGGCGAGATAGTTTTGCAATTCCATCCTCCAACTATAGTCAAAGTATTATGGATGTTGTGCATGAGGTGCCATTTAGTTTGCCTGAAAACCATGCAAGCTATTCCATCCTCCAACTATAATCGAAATGTATATTAATTTTTTGTTTTCCATTTTGTTTACTCACGTTCCTACAATAAGTGTCCGATTATTGGCATACCTGAATAGATGACGGAAGGTGTGGAGGTTAAGGCGGAAGAGTTAACCAAGGTTAATAGCAGTGGGCCCGTGGTGGGTGCTGGTCAACCTACAGAGCATGCACGATGCACAGATGGAGCATGCTCACATGGTACAAGGCCATGTGATCGAGGAGGGAGAGTGCAGGGAGAAACTAGGAGAAGGGGAAATCGTTACCCCACCTGTAGTGACCGCCCCGCCCAGATCCCAGTGTTGTGGGTATATAACATGGAATAGAGTGCATGATTAACCATCGGCGCGCATGCGCTGCGAGGGTTACAGTAGTTACCCTTGGCGCGCATGCGTAGCGAGGGTACTGTAGTTGGGTTTGTCTGTCTGTCTGTTACTCTCAATCTCACTTCTCGAATGTCTGTTCGTCTCGCAAACGATACGACCTACCTAACGGGCAATGAAGGTCAGAAATTTCGAACGGTTTTCTCTGAAAATGCTCCGTTGCTAAGCTAGAGCGCATCCAGCATTGTATGGCTAATGCAGGTAGTCGCCATTTTATCGCTGGCGGATAATGCGCATGTGCTTATATTTAGCACAGGCGGTTTACCTCGACCGGGTCCACTTGCTCTGTCTATCTTGAAGGCACAAGAAGTCATCTCGCTCGCGTACTTATATCTACTACTGTAGCTAGCCCGTGTCAGACTCTCTGCGAGCTACTTCGCCGAGGGTTTGCACTTTAGTGCTTTTCATTTACACTGTTCCCATTCAAGTAATGGTGGTGGTCTGATGGATAAGCACCCCCTCTCTTGATCGTGAGGTCCCTGGTTCGATCCCGGGTGTGTACGCCTTTTTTACAATGATGTAATAGGAGTGTTGGTATATATGGAACGTTTTTTCATCACTTCTCCAGGCCAGCCTGAGTGGCTAGGTGGTTAGAGTCGTGGGGACTGACACCATAGGTGCGGGTTCGTATCCCGATCCCGCACTAAAGTGTCAGGTGGTCCAGAGCATTGGCTGGGAACAGCTCTGGTTCCTCCCCTTACCCACAAATCTACCACTGACCCATGTTTCTCAAAGGGCAGCGTACAGTTCGGCATAGCACTGCGTCCGTAGACGTCTGTCTGGAGAGATGAAGGGCTGGCCGTTTTTTTTTCTTTCTTTCCAACCATGGGTAAATTTTTTTTTACACTAAACAATCCACGGGTAATACGAATATTAATAGAGAGATAAAAGGTTGGCAATTTTTCAACCTTATATATATTTTTTCCCTCAAACAGATATAGCGGCTGGCCATTTTTTTTCACCTATTGATAATACCATGGAAATGGTGCATAACATGCTGATGCATGGTGAAGACCATCAATTGTGGTGGTGCCACACTTGTGTATGGGTTCCACATTTATATATAGTGTGCGGTTTGCACTTTAGTGCTTTTCATTACCCTCGGCGCGCATGCGCTGCGAGGGTACTGTAGTTGGGTCTGTCCGTCGTCCGTCCGTGTGTCTGTTCGTCTCACAAAGGATACGACCTACTTAACGGGCAATGAAGGTCAGAATTTTTGAACGGTTTTCTCTAAAAATGCTTCGTTGCAAAGCTAGAGCGCTTCCGCCATTGTATGTACGGCTAATGCTAGTCGGCCATTTTTATCGCTGCGGAAAACGCGCATGCGCTTATATTTTCAACAGGCTCGGGTCGGCTTGCTCTGTGTATCTTGAAGGCACGAGAAGTCACAACGAAGGGCGTGTATCGACTCCCGCATGCTATCTACTACGCCGAGGGTTTGCACTTCAGTGCTTTTCATTGGGTCTGTCTGTCTGTGTGCCAGTCTGTCTGTTACTCTTCATCTCACTTCTCGAGTGTTCTTTCCTCTCACAAAGGATACAACCTACTGAACGGGCAATGAAGGTCAGAAATTTCGAACGGTTTTCTCTGAAAACGCTCCGTTGCAAAGCTCGAGCGCTTCCACCATTGTACGGCTGATGCGTAGGCGGCCATTTTTATCGCTGCGGAAAATGCGCATGCGCTTATAATTAGCACAGGACCCGGTCTGCTTGCTCTGTGTATTCTGAAGGCACAAGAAGTCACAACGATCGACTCTCGCATGCTATCTACTACTGTAGCTAGCCCGTGTCAGACTCTGCGAGGTAATCGCATACTAATATACCGCGCATGTGCAGTTCGCCGAGGGTTTGCACTCATTGTATATAGAAATAGGTAGGCCTAATCCTGCTGTGTGGTGTACTGTATTATACTCAGTTCTTGGTGGACCGGGCTCCATTACTTATTCCTTGTGATTGTATATACTCAGGGCAGGAGGGAGTGGCAACACCCTCTTCTCACCCAAGGGTAATTAGAGAGGAGGGGCCAGGTGTAGGCATGGCGATCAGGATGCCACTCCTGCCAGGCCAGAGTTGTGCCACTGTAGGAAGCAGACAGCACAGGGGCGGGGTGGTCTAACAGTGGTATTAATCCCAATCACTGTTCCCGGCCCTCCACACCACAACACACACACTTTAACCAGAGAGAAAAGAAAATTGGATGACTTTTTATGTACACATTTTTGCAAGCTTAAAGGTTGTCATAATAATGCCTTGCTAAAAAGGCTTTTTGGGCAGATGGGTAGTCTGCAAGAGACAAGCATTGTCTGAGCCCAGCCCTCCACGATCTTCCTGGAGCTGAGGCAATGTCCTGTGCTCTGCTGCTTCCTGGCCAGGAAGGCCAACCACAGGGTGACAGATGGAAGTCCATTCACTGACCCCTGGGATGAATGGATAAATGTTCACACTTCTTCTAGACTACTTACCCTGTGGCTCTCCTCATACCCCTGTAGACATCATAATTGTGTTTCTCCCTTCCCTTGGAAAAGCCAAGGGAGTTCTTCCAAATTTTTGAAGAAACAACTGTCACCTGCTGTGAGATGCATGGTCTGAGTTACTGATTGACTGAAGCAATCCTAGATAGATTATAATTGGCGACAGTAGCCTTCACACCATGTGTTTGGATGGTGTAGCTGCTTGCTGACAGTTGAAATGTAATTAGTGGTTTGGTGTTTTTTTTTTACTAGCACATTTGACAGGTGCAAGTCTCTGTGTTCTAGCTCCAGAGCCTGCAACAGTAGAAAAGGAGGGAGGGAGGGAGAGAGAGGTATGGTGCAGTATCTGGTGGACTTACAGTCTCTCCCACAGCAAGAGCTCCTGCCACCTGACGGATAACACTGACAGCCTCCTGTGAACTACTCTATAGCATGGGGATATTAGTGGTAGTGTCACACACACATCAGGTATTATCAGGATATTTTTTACCTTTCTTTGTAGGTCTTAAGTGGAGAATCAGCAATTCAGCATTCTCTGCATGTGGTACGAGGTAGAATTGTCATACTGCAAAAGTAAGAAACGGCAGTTTTTGTTTGTGAGTCACACATACGTGGTGCGTGTGAATATGTGTGTGCGTGTGTGTACGCACAAGATTGTGTAAACTGCCTATACTGGTAATAGTCGGGAAGTTTTCTGAGTTTTTGATTCCCTGTTGTAACCCACAAACTCAGCTCTCTACATGGAAGAGGAGAGGAATGGGGTGGGATGGGATCAGGAAACTCATGACTTACTTTGTGATCATCATCTCAGTCTCTACATCTAAAAAGGTCGTGTAGTCTGCAAGAGACAAAAGTATTGTCTGAGCCCAGCCATCCACGCTCTTCCTGGAGCAGAGGCCATGTCCTGTGCTCTGCACGAGAGCTTCCTGGCCAGGAAAGCCAGCCACTGGGTGTTAGTGGAGGATGAATCTCCATCCACTGACCCCTGGGTAGCTACACCGTTGGGCCACTCTCATTCTGCAAAAAGAGTGTTTGTGCATCACAGTCGTGGGTGGTGAGTGTGCATGAGTACGTACCCACAAGATTGTGTGATGAGTGCATTGCTAAACTTCCTATGTACTGGTATATAGTCTGGATGTTTTCTGTTGTTTCCCTGTTGTATATAACCCAGCAAACTCAGCTGCCTACAGAGATGGAAAAGGAGAGGAAGGACATGGAATGGGTTAGGCTCAGGAAACTCTGACACACTTTTTTATTATCATTTCTGTCTCCACGTCAACAAAGGTAGCCTGCTGTTCTCCATTATAGAGCAGACTACCTTCGATCGGAATGATCTAAAAAGAATTATATTGGTAACTTATACAAATTAAAACATTTCTTATGAACTTTTATTACCATCTGGGTCCCTGTTTCTGTTGTGAATCCAAAGACCTCGCAGAAGGTCCCCTCTCCCTGCTTCTCCAGACTGTCGTAGCTGTATACAATACTAACATCACTTCTCCCTCTATCTTATAGCTACAGTAGGCACATTACTGGTTAGTGATGAAGCTGGTGAGAGGGTGAGGCTCATGTTGGCCACAGACCAGTACCTTCTCCTGTGGACTTTGATGAGTGGTGGTGAGTTGCTCTGGAGGAGAACAGACTAGCTAAGAGTGACTGGGCATATTGTTTCATGTACCTGAGGAGTGGAGGAAAGAGTGGATGCCTCTTGGGTGTTGATTCCACGCGATAAAAGGTTATAAATTGACAAGACAAAGTAGGGCGTATGGCACATGTAAAGTAAAAGCTCACGGTTGACTTCCATACTATATATACAGAAAGAAGGAAGAGGAACAAGTCGAGTGAGAATGGCTTCTGTGGCTTCACTTGTCATCTATAGAGATAAAACACATACAAACAGAGGGCTAGCAAATCAAGTTATACATGAAAGACATATATAAGGAACATTTTCAGGGGAAACTTGCAACTTGACAACAGAAATCGGCCTAGTTGAGAGGGAGAACCACAAGAGGGATCATTGTGTCTGGTCATTTCTCCCGACACAGATTCCACACACCTACCCCCACTCTGGTGGAGCCTCCGTAACTAACCATCTCTATGCACTAGATCTGCAATAAAGAGTCACTAGGTGGAGGTCAGTCTTGTCAAAGCAACAGGGACGTATATGAGATATCTCCGCAATTAGAGTGCAGGGGAGAGCAATGACTGAAGACAAGTTCCAAAGCTATCACAAACAGAGAATGATGGTATATTCTCCACTTGAAACTTATAAAGTATGCAACATTGCCCATTAGCAAGTAATTATATCCTGATTTTCCAACTCCCATAATTGCTCCTAGTTCACATTATGTCAAAGGGGTGTTCAGTGTTCTCCGTCAGGTGGCTGGAGTCACTGTAAGTCCACCAGATACTCCACCATGACCTCCCCATACCTGACTCTCTCTCTCTGCTTTACTGTTGCAAGCTATGGAGTTACAATAACACAGAGACTTGCACCTGTCAATTAATGTGCTAGTAAAAAAACCCACCAAACCACTAATTACATTTCAACTTTTAGCAAGCAAGTATATACACCATCCACACATGGTGTGGAGGCTACTGTTGCCAATTATAATCTATCTTGGATTAAGAAAGGTGCACCTCCACTCCACGTTTAGTAATAAGGCAGTAAATGTGATTACCGAGTCTGTCCAGCTTCCTCCATGGCTTCTTCCTTCTCTTAGCGTGAGCTGTTCAATATATACATATTACGAGTCATTTTAGTTCGTAAAGACAGGGTAAATTTTGTAGACGAGTAGCTAAAGTTTGTTTCAAAAAGAATGGGCAGGTGAGATCGAGATCCTCTTGTCCATCCTTTCCCTAATCAGTAAGTCAGACCATGCATCTCACTGCAGGTGACAGTTGTTTCTTAAAAATTTGGAACAACTGCCTTGGCTTTTCCAAGGGAAGGGAGAAACACAATATGATGTCTACAGGGATATGAGGAGAGTCACAGGGTCAGTAGTCTAGAAGAAGTGTGAACATATCCATTCTCTTAACTCATCCCAGGGGTCAGTGAATGGAGATTCATCTCTCCACTAACACCCTGTGGCTGGCTTTCCTGGCCAGTAGAGCACAGGATATGGCCTCTGCTCCAGGAAGAGCGTGGAGGGCTGGGCTCAGACAATACTTTTGCCTCTTGCAGACTCCCCATCTGCCCAAGAAGCTTTAGCAAGGCATTTTGATGATAACATTTAAGCTTGCAAAAATGTTTCCATAACAAGTTCCATACCTGACTCTCGCTCTAATAAAAGCCTGGGATAAAGATGCCATGACGAACACAGTGGAGAAAAGATGCCATGACTAACCCAGTGGAGAATGACAGGCCTGGTCTGTGTGTGTGCTTGTACGAGTCTTTGATTCATTGCTCTTTACCCGTCAGCAAGTTCCCAGGGAACCATATTTATGTTCTATATACTACAAACGGAGAACGCTGGTACTCCACTTGAGACCTACGAAGTATGACAACAACACAATTTTGATGTGTGTACCTTCACTCCACATTAATATTAACTCAACGCATTGTTGGCGAGCGAGTGGAGGCAGTTTAATATTTTGCATTACAGTATATATGCAGTGCCCCACAGAGCTGTCACATTATAATATAATTGTGAAGGGTTGAAGTACTCGTCAACCAAATAAGAGAGGCGTTGTCGTCGGTTGGGGTCCGCGCCATATTCGGGCCTTGGTTTCCGCATAGGGGCAGCGACGTCAGCGGCAGCTGCCAGAGTAGAGGACACGGTCATCAAAATCGTCTGCAGGCGGTCGAGCTCCGTGTACCTGGCGTACGTGCGCATTCCACGAGGCAACCTGTCGGAAGTTTCGCACAGACTTGCGGCTTGAGGGCTGGGTGACTGACTTATCGTCTTCACATTGTAGAACATAAAAAATTTAATCAGGGTCATCCAGGATGTTATTTGTGACCCAAAACACATGAGTATTGTAAAGATAAACATTGTTGAAGAGTATAGTTTCGGATGGAGGACGCATAGATGGCTTAAAACTGAAAAAATGGAGAATCTAGGAGGGTATACAAAAAATATTGTGATCTTTCGGAATAATGCACTGACGTGTTCAGATCATTACAATGAAGGTGCATTTTAGGTGCAAGTGCTGGCTTTCCAGCACTATCTTTGCAACATCAACTATCGTCTCATAGTGCTGGCTTTCTAGCACAATCTTTGAAACATCAACTATCGTCTCATAGTGCTGGCTTTCCAGCACAATCTTTGCAACATCAACTATCGTCTCATAGTGCTGGCTTTCCAGCACAATCTTTGCAACATCAACTATCGTCTCATAGTGCTGGCTTTCCAGCACAATCTTTGCAACATCAACTATCGTCTCATAGTGCTGGCTTTCCAGCACAATCATCGTCTCATAGTGCTGGCTTTCCAGCACAATCTTTGCAACATCAACTATCGTCTCATAGTGCTGGCTTTCCAGCACAATCTTTGCAACATCAACTATCGTCTCATAGTGCTGGCTTTCCAGCACAATCTTTGCAACATCAACTATCGTCTCATAGTGCTGGCTTTCCAGCACAATCTTTGCAACATCAACTATCATCTCATAGTGCTGGCTTTCCAGCACAGTCTTTGCAACATCAACTATCGTCTCATAGTGCTGGCTTTCCAGCACAATCTTTGCAACATCAACTATCATCTCATAGTGCTGGCTTTCCAGCACAATCATCGTCTCATAGTGCTGGCTTTCCAGCACAATCTTTGCAACATCAACTATCGTCTCATAGTGCTGGCTTTCCAGCACAATCTTTGCAACATCAACTATCGTCTCATAGTGCTGGCTTTCTAGCACAATCATCGTCTCATAGTGCTGGCTTTCCAGCACAATCTTTGCAACATCAACTATCATCTCATAGTGCTGGCTTTCCAGCACAATCTTTAAACACCATCTACCAGCAAAATCTTTGAGCCACTTTTTACTCTTTTGGAAGGAGACCATGGCTGAGATACTCATAATATACAGCTGCAGATCAGTAAAATGTGATCTCATAGCGCTAGCTTTCCAGCACAATCTTTGATACCTCACATATGGCTGCAGATCGGTATTTTCCATCTGCAGTTGGTGAATCCTTTTTGGGATTCACATGATCTCAAATCATCACTGATAACAACATCTTTTTAACACTGTTTGTTCCATGTTCATTTACATCAACATTATTTTGCCACTGCATAGTCCACTATCAACATCTGCACTTCTATCACAACCGCAACGAGACTGCTTAGTCACCACATCGTTCAAAGCCTCAACCGTCATCACGACTGCAGGCACAATACAACTACCAGTGTCACAACCAGAGCCTTTAAAAACACAACAGCCACGACTGTCGCCAGAAAACACACTCACTACAAATCATCACAACTAGCTATTCCCAACACAACGACTGTGATCCGAGTCACACTCACAACTGCAATCACAAAGACTACAACTCTGATTCTCAGATTTAGGAAAAGGATTATGAGACAGAGCATCAATATTTGAAATCAGCTCAATGCTTTAGTGCCTGCCAGCATAACTTTCCCCAATTTTATTTTCATATAGCTTGATTTCAGAGTGAGAGAGATTTTTAAAACAGGCATCTAATGTATTTTGTCCCGTCTGCATTGAACAATGGACGTGATTGACCGTTTGCGAGCGTTTCCATGGAAACACGTAATTTACTCATCAATGCACATGCTCACCGGACACGTGAGCACGATCGCAGGTGTCATTTTTCGTTCGCGAAGGTGTGATAGACTTTCCTTGTTGAACTGCCTCATCCAGAGATCCATGTCCGACACTGGATGCAAGCCGTGGTTCAAGAGACGACGCAAGCATGAGAGCGCTGCACGATTGCGTGAAAAGAAGCAGATGCTCCTCCGTCTCCGCCACCACTCCCCGGCGTCTCCCTCCAACCCCCTCCATCAACCCCAGGCCATAGCGGACAATCGTCCATCTCCCCTCAATCTCTTGCCTGGAGAAGGAAGATAAGTGCTAGGCAAAGAGCAGAGTACATGCATCAGTACAAGGAACTGCAACGTGACCCTCCTGCTGAGCCTTCTGGGGACTCTGACGAAGAAGACCCTGAGCAGAGCAGTGACGATGAGTTCGATGCCCAGGAAACACTGGACGATTGGATGTTGACACTCCGTCTAGAACAGAGAAAGATGCTCTCTGTGACTCTGATGGAGAGCTTCAAGAGTCGCCAGAAAATGAACGTAAAGGAGGCAGCGACAGAGGCTGGTTCTATTGTTGGTTTCAGTGAGAAGTCAATACGAAAGTACCGAAACGATTTCTTCGCCAACAAAGGAACTGTTACTCCACACAAGCAAGGCAAGTACGAAAGGCACTGCTTGTACCATGATGAGACGCTGAACCTCAAGGCGGCCGAGTGGGTCAGAGAAAACGCCTTAATGAAAGGCAGGCCGAACATGACGGCACAGACTTTCTGCGACTGGATAAACAACAGCCTTCTTGTGTCCAGTCACCTTCCCCCTTTCTTCCCAAGGGAAATATCACTACGTACAGCTGTTCGTTGGCTCCACCACTTAGGCTTCAAGCCTGTCATAAAAAGGGGTTTATATTGATTGCCACGAGCGAGAAGACGTCGTGCGACATTGAAAGAAGTTGCTCAAAACACTGCACGACCTCCGCAGTTCTCACCAGCCGCTCCCACACTGAATACGTCTGGAGGAAGACGAGGAGAAGAAAGAACTTGTCCTCATCTTCCACGATGAATCAATCTTCAACACCAACGAGGTGCAAACTTGGATGTGGGGGGAGAGTGAACGGCCAGCCATTCTCCCCAAGACCATGGGCAGCGGAATCATG